ATATATATATATATATCCATCCATCCATCCATCCATCCATCCATTATCTTTACCCGCTTATTCCATTTTGGGTCACGGGGGGTCACTGGTGCCCATGTCCAGCAATCACTGTGCGAGGGGCGGGGTACACCCTGGACGGGTCGCAAGTCCATCACAGGGACACATAGAGACAAACGAGACAAACAACCATTCACTCTCTCATTCACACCTAGGGACAATTTAGAGTTACCAATCAGCCTAACATGCATGTTTTTGGTCTGTGGGAGGAAACCGGAGTACCCGGAGAAAACCCACGCATGCACGGAGAGAACATGCAAACTCCACCCAGAAAGGCCCCTGGACCGGGGTTTGAACCAGGGACCTGCAAAGTCACTCTAATAAGCGCCAATTTTTTTGGGATCAGATCAAAACTTTACGTCTAGTATTTCAGCAGAGGGCATCGGGGCTTCTGGGAAATGTGGTCGCTATGAGCGGGGATACAGTGCTTATAGAGAGAAAACTACAAAATGGTGGTGCCTGGACGAAGTATTTTATTTTTTCATTAACTTTTTACTGTACAGTATCCAGTACTGTCCCAATCACGCGACTAATATTAAAGTTGACAATCGTGTGTCCTGTAGATTTTTTTTTTCTCGTGTTCAATCTTACTTTGAAAAACCACGAAAGAGCAAGTCCGTGAAAGTCAAACCGCGAAGTAGCGAGGGACTGCCATATACTGTAAACCCTTTTAGTTTTTATTACCACCGAACAGATGTGTTTTATTTTGTAACTTTGGTCAAAGATCTGTCACACCTGACTGAAAATCATAAATCAGATATCTTCCCTACAGTGCATTCTTGCTGACGTTGCATCCGTTTTATTTTCAGCCAACACCTATCAAATTACCGGGCATGGAAGTTTAGCAGCCCAATATGGCGGCGAGGCGCAGTTCAACTGCACCGTCTCACCTCCAACAGGTAAAACCTCCAGTCACTGAAACATCCCCAGCTGGGATACTTTCTAAAAATGAACACCTCTTTAAAAAGGTCACCTATGATGTAATAACTGTTTGCACTTCCTTTTTTTCTTGCCTTCCCGGCAGGTGTGCTTCAGGTTACTTGGCACAGGCCATCCACGGATGAAAGAATAGAGAACTTGGCCACATTCAGCAAACACTTTGGAGAGCAGGTCAACGAACCCTATAAAGGAAAAGTCGCCTTTAAAGAAAGGTCTCTCAACTCATCGTCCATCCTTCTGAGGAACATAACGTGGGAAGATGAAGGATGCTACATTTGTGCTTTTAACGTTTATCCCGACGGGTCCAAAAGGAAGCAGATGTGCCTCACGGTACAAGGTAGATAATAATTTCCCGATGACCGAGACAAAGTACAATAAATTGTTTCTGTCTTCTTGGGGTGACAAAGTGACAAATTCCCCATTTTCCTTAAAGGGATATCCAGGGTGAACACAAGCCACGATCACAGCAACGAACAAGAAGGAAAGGCCAGACAGGAAGTCTTCAGCTGCTCGGCCACAGGGAGACCAACCCCGTCCATTGATTGGGACGTCTCGCCTGGCGCCACCGTAACCCTAACGTCGTCTAAACTAAACATGAACGGCGACAACACAATCACCAACAGCAGCAGCATCACGGTGCACGTTCCTGCAGAGTGGACCGGACACGTGGACTGTCTGCTGAACAAAGACAAGCTCGGAGAAAGACGGGAAACGCTCTTTTTATCAACCCACCTAGAGGAGATAAAAGACAGGGGTACGCACGCGGGACTTTTCCTTCGTATTTGAAATTGTATCGCTACCGTAGGTGGTGCTTTAATCTTGTTAAAATCAGATTACAACAGAAGGGAGTGGCGCTACTTTGGAAGTTCAGATTAAGATATTCTTTATACACACTAACGGGAAGGGTTTGGTTAGTTGTTACACCAATAAATACCGGATTGTGGCTTAAGGAAGTCCCAGAGGTGTCATCTCTACCGAGACGTCAGCTTGAAACTCCCAGTGAGCTTCACTGACCTATATTCGTTGCCTGGTAGTGACGACAAAGAACCTGCAAACCCACATTAACGTCCAACCATTCAAACAAACCAGGAAGTAAGGAAATCCCTGCCATTCACCTGTTCTTAGCTTCATTTCTTTAAAAAGAAAAAGCAACAATCAAAGGTTATCTTGTACCAAGACAGCCCAGAACTGAAAAGACCAATACTGGGACTCAATGGTGTTTCCTTTTAATCAGCTGAGCTGTGACTCACCAAAGCTTCAGTTTCACTTTGACTCTGGTTTCATGTTCAAGGAAACCCCACGTCACACAACACTGACGCGCTGCTCCCAGCGGGGGTCTTTCAGGGGGATCTCTGAACAAATCATACAATTCAGTTCTTGAATTTAAAAGTAAAAGCACCACAGTGTGGAATTCCCAGCTTCCTGTTTTTGAGAACCACGAGTGACGTCATTTCTGCGCAGACTGACTTGGTGTTGTTTCTCTTCAGGGGAACACAAGATGGTGGCGGTCATCATTCCTTTAATAGCCATCGTTTGCATCATTGTGGCAGCTGTTGTGATCCGAGGGAGGTAAGATATTTCACTTCATGTGAAAAGCACCTACTAAATATTGATTTAGAGTCCTTATCAGCACCAGCAGCTCACATGTTTTACCTACAGTATGTTTAACTCTGTTGGTTTCTCTTTCTGGCAGATTAAAGAAGAAGCAAAGAAGAGAATACATAACCTGATCAGCTTCCCAACATCTAAGCTGCACTTTAAATTTTGTGGTTTTTTTTTTTTTTTTTTCAACTGCAAGTGAATAAGCTAAAGCTAAGCTGCTTTATAAGAAACAGCTTTCGCTCATATGTTGATGTACAGTAGTCCCTCGCTACTTTGCGGTTCGTTTTTCGCCGACTCGCTCTATCGCTGTTTTTCAAAAAAAGATTGGACGTGACACGATTGGCTGATTGATGGACGAGCCGCAGGATCGGCATAGATGCTTTATTTTAAATAAATTATTTAAAATAATTTAGCACCTGTATGTAGCCCACAGCAGTAGGAGAAGCTTTTTCATGCAGCCGAGCAGATTGGAGAAGTGGGCGTGGCCAAGAACGCGGGCAGATGGCAGAGAGCAGCCGAAGACAGAGAGCTGAAATGACATGCTGTGCTCTTTTAGAGCGTTTAATTTTTTTTTAAACATTGTTTAGA